TACGCGAAAACGGGGATTTTTTGACGAGTTATTAGCAAATATCGAGGTATTGCATAAATATGCTGAAAAAATGGGTTTCGAAGAATCCTTTAACAGTTTAGTATAACTCAATTGTTCGTTTCAAAGGGAATGTTGGTTGGAGGAAAAGTTGTGAATTAACCCCACCCGAAATCATATATATGGGCTACTGCAATTCTCAAACCTATTTATAAAACAAAAATTAAGCCAAATCCTCCAACTTGTTACTAATTGTTGGTCGGCTCATCTTTACTCTGTCGTCAAGCCCAGAAGAAATATTGTGTGGAACGTAGATGCCACCACATTATGCTATTCGGTCACGAGGTTGCCGACTCTGAAACAGAGAGAGAGGGATAAGGCAGAAGAGAGTGTTCCTCCCCGAAGAGGATGAGCACCAATCACACGAAACTGGGCGTTTTAGTGGGTTTTGTTGGAGAATTCCATACTTTCCATTGACTGGAGCCAGTCTAAACCTCTTTTCCGACGAGCACTAGCAATTATTTTTTCTCTTACCAACACGTCGACAGTTGTTGCAACTACCAGAGTTGAATTCTCCCAATTCCTCCGGGGGGGGCGTCGATGCAGATAGCTTGTCTTCAAGTCGGCTTCCGGAGCCAGATCATGGGATCTTATCAAGGACCACCCATTTGGTCGAAACAAAGAAATGGGCTTCGATGAGGCCAGCGATTGTCCAAGATTTGGATGAGGGAGAAAGACATTATCTCGGATCCAACGTCCAATTTTTGCCTGCTTCATCTTATCACTCCCGGTTCCTATTTCACACTCAGCCTTAAATCTACCCTTTTCCCGTTTTCGCATTCTCGTTACTCTGCCCCGTCTCCAGCACAGTCGCAAATGGAGCCCTCTTTGTCCTCCCCGCTTCCACGAAATCGCCTTTTGCCTTCGATTTCTGCGGTTTTCATTCACATCCGTTTCACTGCTATTTGCACACTCAATTCACGGCATCATGCCGACAACCCTATGGCTCGTGTCCATGACCATGTCCACTTTTAGCTCTGTGTGGGGGATCAGCCGTCTCAAAGCGAAGCCACAAAGGGGCTTCCGTCCCTTCCGATTATCCGTCCCTCGATCTCATCGCCTCGGACACCTTTGTCTCGCCAGCCACGACGGCATAGCTAATTTGCATTTTACTCTCTCTGGCCTACTCCTCCGTAGGCAGTTGATGCTGCGTTTGTGTTGCCCATGCACCTGAATGATGTCCACTACGCGCAAGTCTAGACAGACAGGCAGGCAAGCAAGTAAGCAAGTACATACACACACACACACACACATACATACATACACACATCGCCTTACTTATCCACCAACCCGTTCTACACATACATACGGCTCCGCAAGAGCACACATAAAAATTCACATACACTCAGGCATAGTCAAATTAGATATGAAGAAAAACTGAATTTCGAAGAATGCCTTAGTGATATATTATGACATGAACATACACACAATGAACAATAGCACAGGCCCAAACATGAAGCAAAATTAGAGGATCATACGCTAATTTATTTATGTAAGAAAACAGATGCTACCGAACACATTTCCGCTTCGTGAAGTAACTTCACTTATCTACAAGCATGTAGGGTAAGTTCATGGTAGTCTACCAAATCAGGTATATA